GGATATCTAAGAAACTTTGTACAGAATAATAATAATAGTAATAAAACAGGTCGGCAAGGGGAGCACGGTAAGGATGCCCTCGAGTCCAGCAGTAGGCCGGCCGAGCAACTGCAGAGGCAGCCTCCGGAGGAGAGGCCAGTTCGGGGAACCATCCACATGATAGTGAGAGGTTCAATCGTTGCGGGTTGCACTTCAGCGGCAGCTCAGACGTCGGTTCGTGAGGCCACCCGAGAGGAGCGGAACCCCCCAAAGCGGCCGAGAATAGAAGAGCCAATTTTCTTCACAGAAGATGATGCGCGAGGAGTCCACTACCCCCATGATGGTGCGCTCGTAATAAAGCTAAGAATCAACGACTTCGAGGTCAGGCGCGTACTCGTCAACTCAGGTAGCTCAGTCGACATCCTCTTCAAAGCTGCGTTTGACCAGCTCCAGTTGCAGAGAGGCGACCTGAAGCCCGCAGACACTCCTTTGGTAGGCTTCAGCGGAAAAGAAGTCCGGCCCCTTGGGAAAATAACAGTACATGTGGAAGTCGGCACGTGGCCTTGTGTGGTCAGATTCAAGCACAACTTCCTGGTGGTCGCGACCCCCTCCCCCTACAATGCCATAATAGGTTGACTGATCACCCATGTCCTACGGGCGGTGGTCTCCACTTACCATTTGGCTATGAAGTTTCCAAAAGACTTCGGTGTGGGGATAGCGCGGGGCAACCAGCTCGAATCCCGTAAGTGCTACATCGCCGCCTGAAGGGAAAAACCAAGGTAGCCGATGACCTTGAGCTGGAGCGGCCTATGGAGTAAGGCGAAGAATGAGCCACGCCCACAGAAGAAATAGTCACAGTTACGACCTCAACAGCAAACCCAACTCGGACGCTTCAGATCGGCGCTTCCGTCCAGGAACCTCTACGATTTGAACTGGTAAGTTTCTTACTTCAAAATTTAGATATTTTTGCATGGTCCGCGGCAGAGATGCCCGGTATAGACCCCGAACTCATAACTCACAAACTGAATACTGATCATGTAGTTAGGCTTGTTAGACAGAAGAAACGCAACCTAGCCCCGGAGCGATGGAAAGCGGTTGACGAGGAGGTCGAAAAGCTCCTTGCAGCTGACTTCATAAGAGAAGTCCACTACTCGAGCTGGGTAGCCAACCCCGTCCTGGTAAAGAAGGCCAACGGCAAGTGGCACATGTGCGTCGACTACACCGACCTGAACCGGGCTTGCCCAAAAGACTGCTTCCTGCTCCCCATAATCGACCACTTGGTAGACGCGACCTCAGGGCACGAGTTACAAGGTTATGCCCTTCGGGTTGAAAAACACAGGGGCAACCTTTCAAAGGCATGTAAATAAGTTGTTTGTGCCGTTAATCGGCATAAAAGTAGAATGCTATGTAGACGACATGGTCGTCAAAACTCAATTCTCACATGAATTAATACAAGATTTGCATTCTGTTTTTGAAATTCTACGAGGCTGAACCCAAACAAGTGTGTGTTTGGTGTGACCTCAGGCAAGTTCCTAGGATACATTGTTAACCGGCGCGGCATCGAAGCCAACCCGGATAAGATTAAGGCCATTTTAGATATGAGACCACCTCGAAAGCTGAAGGAGGTTCAGATGTTGAATGGCCG